CACTATACAATACAATCTTCAACTCCTATTCTCAATACACTATCTTTAAAAAACAATTTAGAAAACTTAATATCTGTATCTTGAACAACTCTGCACTGCAGACAATACTACCTTACTTCAATAGAATTATCTTTCATCTCACTTAGTACAGCTATCTAAAGGACATAAGCCATCTTGGTTTACATGTCTAGAAAATACTGTAATTACTAACAACAGCTCTAGAATACTACTTTTACAATATTAACAAACTAACACAATCTTTTTACTTACAACTTCTAACACATCTCTAAAAGACTTAAATTCTGGTTACTAATATACAATAATAATGATATTATTATTGGCAAAATTCACAAATATTTTAAACATAATAATCAAATATCTATTACATACTGAAATACAAATACAAAACTTTCTACTTACTACTCTCTCCTATCAATTCAATGTTCAGCTTGTATAGGCTGCTATTTCAACTCTTATAGAGTTGCAAATCACTGCACAATTAATATATTATCAATAATTTCTATACAATTTTTTGAAAGAGTTTCTTCTAATATATTCAACTTTAATGCAAACTATATTGATCTGATTTATTCAACTGCAATTAAACATCTATTATCTTTACCTTCTGCCCCCACTATCTATATTTTTGACTCTCTTATATCAGAAATTTTTAAGCAAGAAGAAGCTATATATATACTTGAACAATATTCTCTTACCAATACAGCACAAAATACATTTAACTTCTATACTAATAGCTCTGTAATTAACATCAATACAGATCAATGTACAATAAGTATTAAATAGGTATAAGTTAATGATTTCAATTAAATAATTCACAAATTCTTAGCTAAAATCTATTTCTGGTCATCTTCTTACTAAGCTGAACTAATATCAATTCTTTTAGCTATTTTAATTACCTCTTGCAACTTAACAATCAATATCTTCACTAATTTTCAGTTTATAATTACTAAATATTCTAAAATATATACTACTTTCTTAAATTCCAACAAGCTTTTCAAATTCAGTTCATGGCCTATATGATACACTCTGCTTAATATTATCAAATCTTATAACCACCAGATTAACTTTCACAAAGTACAAGCTCATTCTAATAACACTCTTAATAATTTAGCAGACTTATTTGCAAAACAATATAATTTATCACCTACACTATATTTTAACTACACAAGCATCTACAATTCATATTATATAATTTTTGGGGATCAATATTTTATCAAACATTCAACCAAAAGTTTTATCAAAAATATCTGTAGAGTCTATATTCTAACAATGTAGTCTTTTTCTAAAAATATAACATAAAATAGAAAGCTCTAGTTTTTCAAATTGACTAAAGATCAACTTGGTTATTTTTTAACTATAACCAAAAACCAATTTATAATGTTACTAACTTTAAACTCAACTATCTTAAATTATTTAAAATCAAAATCTTATTAAATAAACTTCTTACTTACTTTCATTTTCACAAAACTTATTTTCATATATTTTATAATACTAATTGCTTTAACTGTAATCTTGCTGACTCCTTATCCTATTGGTATATATGCTCAAATCTATTACTTATCTTCAATATTATCCAACTAGCATATCTGAATACATTAATTATACAAACCTTGATTTATCTATAAATCAACAAGAAGAACTTATTTATAAAATCAGTTATCACTATGTCTTTTATCTTATATTTCTTCAAACAAATCAACACTATCTTGATATTACACTTAAAGAACTTATTTCTAAATCTCTAATTGATATTGTACAAATCTTTAATATTTTATACAAACTAGTCTTACAAACAATTATTGCTATTCTGCTTAAAGTTAATAAACTTTCTTACAAACAAATATAGAAACCATATTGTATAAACTTTGCTAACTGAAAACAATAACAAGAACTTAAACCACCTTATGCCAGACCATTACCTTAATCGAATCAAAGCAACAAAAAAAACTCTAATTATAAAAATTATACTTACTCTTGTTTATGTGAACTATCTAACCAATTATATTCCAATTCTAATACTTGTCTACTTATTGGCTATGCTATCTATAAAATTAATATCTGGACTATTCTTTGGATCAAATATAATATTTCTTATAACTATATTCTAAACTTACAAATTTAGATAAGTCTTGATTACTCTAGTAGGTTTAAATTACAAATAAATATGTCTAAGCTTTTATTTTTAAATATAGTTTTTCTTTTATTTTACTTAGAGTAACTATATAATTAGCAGTTCAATGGTTCAGCCCTGACTGCAAGTGTTGGTTTTAGCCATAGCATTTATATAGAAAATTACTTTTTATATATAGCAGCTCCATGTAGTTACTAACTTTTAAACTACCAATAAAGATATGAGCAAGGCCTCACCTTAATATTAAAAAAAAAAATAAAATAGAGATACAATCTGAACAATATTTAACTAATAGTATTAATTGAAACATTTAAAAAAATAGTAATAAAATTAATAACAAAAAGGCTTAATAAAATATTTGCTAAAAAAAAATACTTAAAGAATCAAACTATATAGACTTATCAAAAAATTTAACAAAACAGTTAGTACATATTCAAATATAGTAATAGAAGAAACAAAAAAAAGAATAAAGAGTTATGAATACTTTTACAAAATATAAAAAAGGCATTCAACTTAGTTTTACTTAAAAGACTTAAGCTAGTTCTACAAAGAGTCAAAATCCTCAAAATAACAATCAAGTATATCTTAAACTTTTTTCATAAAAGATAGTTTAAATAATTATAGCTTACAGTTTAACAAAAGAAATAATAGTAGAAAATAAAATAGATCAAGATGAAGTAATATCACTACTAATATAATTCCTTTTCTATAACCTACTACTAGAAAATACAGAAGAATAAAAGGTTAGACTATATAGTAGAATAAGAAATTAAAGAGAATATATATTGTAATAATATTACAAGCTATTACCAAGCAGCAATCATATATACAAATAATACAACATAGATTACAAGTAGTAAAGAACAATTACTAGAGACCCTAAAAGTAATAGAAAAGTTTTTTAAAATAAATAATATAGAAATAAATAGATCTAAATTAAAACTAATAATAATGAACAAAAAGTTAAAAAAGAAAAAAAAGAGATAATTTTTGAAAAAAGTAAGATAATAAAAAGCCAAGAAGCAAAATAGTTTAGTTAATAGGAATATGGCTTAATAACAGAATATGTAAAGTCTTAGTAAGAAAAAAGCAAAAAGAATAATAAGCTAAAAATAAAAGATCTTAAGTATAAAAAAATAATAATGAGCCAGATTGCATATTGTGATGACAGATATTGTAATACTGAATATCATGATAATCATATAAAAAATACATAAAATGCAATAAGTTATATTTGTGATCGAGAACAGTATTTCAGATCCAGAAGAGTAGTATAAAAGGATATAAAGAGAAATTATACATCCTTAAAGAAATAAAATATGATTGAAAAAATTAAATATATCATTGTAAATAACATTTAGTAGTCTTAAAGTAATAATAAGTGCAACATTGCATTTGTAAGCAATGAATTTTATATTATAAATAAAGGCTGAAATGGCTCTAGAAGCAGTATGCTTCATTTGCTTTATTAAACAATAAATCCTAATACTCTATATTGTACTTAATAAATACTAACAATATTATCATTACAAACTCTGTGAACCCCTAATAATGTTGCTATTCAATCCTTAATCACATGACTTACCCTATTTGCATTTGTTGACCCAAAGTAACTGAAAGCCTTAACTGTCCGCAAGCCAAATCTAACACCCTCTTTCGAAAAGATTACTTGTTATACATTATATAAGGTTTTGAATTTTAGAGTAACCGAGTTACAATCTTCTGAACCCAACAATATATAAATAATATGATAATAATACCAAAATTAAGTTACATGTTGCAATTAACAAAGATATTAAAAAAGGACATAAATAAAATACACTAACCAATAATATGTTTAGCAAAACAAAAAAGCAATTTACTAAAAGGGAAATTCTAGGCATCTCTAGCTAGAGATATATAACTTATATATCTCCAGCTTTTGGACCAATCAAACAACGCGAATATCATGTGACAAGGCTTCAATCAATAACCGACATTGTCCCATATCTCCGATCTAAAGAACCGAATCACCTCTGAATTGCCTTTAAATATCGTGATTTGTCATATACATGTGTTACTAAACAAAGAATTTAAGAATTTTTCTCACTTACTATTATCATTGTTCACTGATGCCCAAACAGTGCAACCAAAAAAAAAAAAAATCACCCACTTGTACATACGTAGGTAAAAGAAAGTACATTTGCTCTCTAAAACAAACCTAACAATATGAACTTTTAATAAACTAAGTTTCAAAGTTAAACCAATTGATACCGTTGAATATATAAAGTGAAGGAAGATTCAAAATAAGAAAGGAAGAAATCTCTTAAACCAGCAACATCTCACACTCTGCCAATTACCATTGCTACACTGACACCAACCAAAAAAAAAAACACCTACTTGTACGTAGGTAAAAGAAAGTACAGTTGTTCTCTAAAACAATTCTAACAATATGAACTTTTAATAAACTAAGTTACTAATTGACATCGTTAAATAGATAAAGTGAAGGAAAATTCAAAATAAGGAAGGAAGGAATCTCTTGAACCAGCAACGTCTCATACTCTCAGCAAACAAGTCAAGGACTTTCTGATTAGAATATTCAAAAGGAGTTAGCTCTTTCATTTTAATATAAACCAAATATTAAAATTGTTGTAAGGTTTTAAAACAGGCGAAAAAATAAAAAAAAAAAACCTGAATTTCTGAACCTATTTACTTCACATTGCATAGAAAATTTTAAACCATAACCATTGGTATTTGAAACAAGTGAAAAAACCAAGCCTTTCAAATAGTGACAGCATAATAAAGCTATAAGAATTTCAAATCAAGGTCTGTTGGACTTGAAAGAAAAAAACAGTTTAACATGACCAACATGCAGCAAGAAGGAATGTCACAAGAACGGTTTATTAATGGTAAATTTTTAATAATAACATCCTGATCACTATGCCAAGATCATGGGTGATTAATGGACAATATCCTGATCCATATGTGAATAAGCAGAAATGAAGTTTCCGCTTATTCACATATAGATCAGGATATTGTCCATTAATCACCCATGATCTTGGCATAGTGATCGGGATAATTTGTTTAATACTGTATAAAAAAACTAACAGCTGTCTCTGTTTTAAGAAGCTGTTCTGAATCAATCTACCAGCTGTGATGAAAACTATGAATCTCAAACCCTACTAGAACCTACATTGGAATCTGAAATTTCATTCGAGCGCGAAACCTCCTCAGAATTCGAGATCATCTTGGAACCCGAAACCCTATTGGAACCCGAAGCCCTACTGGAACCCGAAACCCCAAGTAACTCACTTTTTCAGTGTAACCAGGGTTATGCCTCTCTTGAGGCCTTCAAATATGTCGCTGATCAATTCGCTGAAACAAGCAAGTTTAAAGTGATTTTCTTAAAAGGCAACAATTATAAGGATGGTTTGCGTTCTGCTCAAGTTTTTGCTTGCGATCGCTATGGCGTGTTCAAACCTAAACCTAAAGATCCGAATAAGAAAAATAGAAATAAGGAATCAAAAAAGTGCAACTGCCCCTGGTCTGTTCATCTTAATTATAACAAGGATGATGACAAATATTATATATCACAAGTAAATCTACACCATAATCATAAACTAATTCCACTCCAACTCATGCGCATTTTGCCTGCTAACCGCGAAATACCAGGCTTCATTAAAGAAGAAATTCTTACCGCAAAAAAAGCAGGAATTGCAATACCGCAAATCCAATCCCTTCTTACAATGAAATACGGAACAGTCATGAAGAAGTGGTTAATAAAGGATGTGTATAATCTGGTTGATGCTGATCGCACATTGCATAATGAATTTCAAGCCCACGATTTTCTTCTCCTCCTCCAACAAAAACGTAATAATGACCCCGAATTTTCTTACGAATTTGAATTGGATAAAAATGACTGGTTGAAACATGTGATCTGGGTGTATGCTGCACAAAAACGACAATATATGTGTTTTCATGACATGATTGTATACGATAACACATATAAGAGCAATTATTTTTTGATGCCTTTTGGGGTGTTTACAGGCGTCACCAATAACAGTCTCTCTTATTGCGCTGCTGGTGCGCTACTTCGTGATGAAACATCTTCGAGTTTTGAATGGCTTTTCGAAGCTTTTATTCGTATATTTGGCACTGCACCCAATACTATTCTTACTGATAATAATCTTGTGATGGCCGATGCTATCCGTTCTGTCCTTACCAATAAGTATGGTACAAAACATGGTCTTTGTATCTGGCACATGGTAAAGAATATAAGGTCCAATATGACCTCTAAGCTTGGAACGAAGTATAACATGTTTCACGTGGATCTTATGAAATGTTTAAGTCATTATATTGACAAAACCGAGTTTGAAAAGCAATGGAAATGTATAATAGAAAATGAAAACTATGCTGAGGCACAGTCGTACCTGGGAGTTCTTAGTCAGTAGCGTGAACGGTGGGCCCTGGCATATTTAAAAGATTATTTTTTTGCTGACATGTCATCGACACAGAGGGGTGAATCAATGAACAGTTTTTTAAAGGGCTTCGTAGATTGTAAAACAAGGCTCACAGAATTTTTAGCAGCCTTTGAGCGTGCACTTTACTTTCGTGAAGAGGCGGAACATATTTCTGCTTACAAAGAGCTTGTCTACCCCATACCTTCGAATTTTCCAAATCCAATTGAAAACCAGGCTGCTAGTTGCCTGATGAGATATGCCTGGAAGAAATTTGAGGCAGAATGGAGTGAAAAAGATGCATATGCGTGTAAGGAAATAACCGATGACAATGGAGTGCATTGTTTTGAGCTGTCACGTTATGAAAGGCCTGACGTTATACGTCGTGTCTACTATGATGGCAAGGTGCTTGCTTGTTGCTGCTGCAATCTTGAATTTGCTGGAATAGTTTGTCACCATTCTCTTGCAGTTGCGGTTCGCCTGTCTCTCGCTCAACTCGATCCTGTCAACTTTCCAAAACGCTGGCAAAATGACCCGCCCGAGTTGGAGCTTGCAAAAAACTATGTCAATTTTTATAGCCATACACAACTACAAGATCCAGGAACTTTAGCATCACATGAATCATTTGGTAAAGGTGACTCTCGAATCCGATTTATGCATATCCATCGACTATCAGGAGAAATCGCAAACAAAATTGCAATGGATCCCCATAAATGTGCAGATTTTACGTTGTATTTCGAAAAATATCTGGAGGCATTATATGATGCTGACAATGATTTTGTTTCAACTTATGAGAATGCATTGGCATCCCTGGAACATCCAATAATTAACAACCCTATAAAAAGCAAGGCCGTTGGCCGACTAAAAAAAGGAAGAATTAGGTCTGAGAAGAAAAAAGAAGGAAGAATTAGGTGTGAGAAGGAAAAAGAACAAATTAGATGTGAGAAGGAAAAAGAAAAGGAAAATATGCCCCCTGTAAAAAAAAAGCGAGGCCGACCAAAAAAGAACCTTGAAATGGTCACGACCCAAAACCGAGACGAGAATATTAATCTTAACCAGTCCTGAAAACGCGTTCGTAGCAGTCAATAATATTACATAGGGTAAATTTTTTTTTTACAATACATTTAGTTTATTCATAAGATAAAAGTTAATTGACTTTTACATTTTACAATGTTTATCGACAAGATTCAAAATTTTTTTTTTCTTTCACATTAATATTTCTTATTAAACGTGATAGTTAACAAATGAA